GTATGATATGTGTTCTTCACAGAAAATGAGCCAAGGCCATTGAGTGTGGGTTTGAAAAAAGAATGCATCATTTTTAGCTAAATAATGAAAACGGGTCCCACAGACCCGAAAGCCCTAAAAAAGAAGAAGAAGAGGGTTACCATCTTACGACAGATGGAATCCTACATGGACTCCCAGCTTTCTGCCGGAGTTTGTAAAGTATTTTTTTATTTTACATGGGATCTTATTGTATTTTGTATTTCTTATTTGCTCTTATCAATGATTTAAAGTGGGCGGGGCCTTTTTTGGAAAAGGTGATGATGCATCAATATAATATTTGCAACATTAAAACTAAATCGGATGTTAGTGTGGTGGTTGCTGATATTGACAGGTCCTTGTCAATCAAATCTGATACATGACCAAAAATGAAGGTTTGTGATTTCTAAATCCATATTTGAATGCAGCTTTATTTCTTCTGACAAGTCCGCAGGTTTGTAAGGAATGGGTTGACTTCATTTATATAGTCAAGATCAGGGAGACCATTTTTATTTATCAGGTTACAGTAGGCTATTTGTGACATTGATACTGCACAGCACTATGCAGATTTTGAGTTAAAAAAAATGCTAACTCTGTTGTAGCACAATGTTGCTATAAGCCTAAGGGCACAATCATTATTTCAATTTTATTTATGTCCTTTTTGGATTAGCCTGAAAAAAACAACTAGCAGCTCATTAGACCAAAACTGACAAACTCATTAAATCCATTTATCACTATATTAAAATTGAGAATTTTGATCAACAGTTTCTTTATTTATTGTTTTAGGTATAGTTGACCTCATAGAATGTGATGAAAGACATTAAAAGCTTAGTTAAATAAATGTAGTCATGAATATATTAACTACTTCACGTAGAACAACACCAAGATTTGCTTTAACCCAGAGTATCCTTACATCATGTGGAACATATTAGGGTTGATGTTATGCCTATAGTTGTATAAACATCAAGATACAACAACAAAGAGCATCAGTGCATGAAGGCCCAGAGGGCAGTGGACTGTTCAACGTACACAAGGAAGGAAGAGGAGACGGATTAGGGCCTTAAATTTGCTGTCCTTTCCATAGCGATTTCCTGTTTACATAGTTGATAGCATTTGATTGGATACTGGCAACCCAAAGGTTACTTGGAAACCAATGCTTGCATTATGTATAACAGCTCTAATTAGGTTACAATACAATAAAACTCCATTGTGTTTTATTTGTTGAAACATTTATTTTTCTAGGATTACATTTGTTTTTGATGAATGAGGATTTTTTTCCCCAGATGTCCTAAACGTCCCGGCTAAACGAGGACGAAAAAGGTCGTTTGCGTTACTGTTTAGTGTCATATAGACCGTTCGGCCACACGAGGACGACCGAATATGACAGTAAAGAACTGCGGAAACAATAACGGGTCCCAAGGTGGATATACGGCATACGCAACGCTCTGGGGGGTCCAACGGCTCCGTGTGTACGCCCTATACGATCATTTTCTGATAATGATGACGCAATAGCCCCGNGTGGTGCTGAAAGCATTCAACATCTCCATTTCCTGCAGGACGTCTTTCCGACTTGTGGTGCCGATGATCAGCAGCTTACGGCCCTGAAAGAGAAGCAGACAGGAGCTCAGACTGTTAGTCTGCTTCTCTTTCAGGGCCGTAAGCTGCTGATCATCGGCACCACAAGTCGGAAAGACGTCCTGCAGGAAATGGAGATGTTGAATGCTTTCAGCACCACCATCCACATTCCCAACATCTCGAGGGGGGAGCAGCTGGTCGAAGCCCTGGAGGTAACACACATACACTCTGAAACTGAAAAACACACACATTGCATACACTGAATGCATGTATTGCCTCCTTTAAACTCCAGGCTATTTATAACACTGGACATTTACTTTGAGTAAAGGCTTTAATCGTGTTTGTTCACATCCTATAATGTGCATTGCTTCCATGTTGACTCCCTATTGATGATGTTTTAAGTTCTGTAGTGTGACCATTTTTCTCAGAATTCCTAAAAGAGTTTACCAATAGAAATGAATGAACCTCCTTTAATCCCATGCTCTTCTTTCTTCGTCTCCTCCTCAGCTGCTGGGCAGTTTTCAGGATGCGGAGCGGGCCGACATAGCCAAACGGGTGAAGGACAAAACTCTGTGGATCGGCGTCAAAAAGCTGCTCATGCTGATTGAAATGTCCATACAGGTGAGAAAGAAATAATATAGTTTGCTTTTACGTTTCTTAGACGCACAGAAGCAGAATGACCATACTGATGTCGATGTCATTCTAACGGTCTGTCCACCACTTTGATCCAGGAGGAAACTTCTCAACTACTATTTGTTTCATTGTCCACAGTATTGAGTATGTAAATCGCTTTGGATAAAAGCGTCACGTACTATGTAATCATGTAATGTACTATTTCATGGATTGTCATGAAATGTTGTACATACATTCATAGTTTCCAAAAGATTGATTCGGATCAATTTCACCTCACTTTTCCTAAAGCACTACGAATTAAGTACACTTTTTTCATAACTACTGAATGAATTACTTTGAAAGTTACATGTATATATAAATTCATGTCTCCTTCAGGATGAGCTGTATAACTTTGATTTATGAACAAATACCTGCTAAATAATAACACTCCCATGAGCCTCAGCTGTACTCGATGTTTTGTGCTGATAAGCGACTGTTTAGGGGCTAAACTAAGATGGTGGAAAGGGTTAAAGTTATATCATATTAGCATTTAGATAACATTTTACTGGCTAAAAGATGTTCTTATAGTTATTGTTATGCTGTCCCCGCTTCATCTGCACAGGAGGGGTTAAATGATAGCAAGGTCAAGTGGACTGCTCAGTGTAAGAAAACGTTTTTAGACAGTACTTGTCCATGGACAAGTGAGTTTGGCAATTTACTTTTCCGAATACATTTTTCACTTGTCCAATCTAGACAAGTGAAACATTTGGGCCACTGGAGTCTTCTTCTTCGGCATCGTATTTTACATTTTCCCACGGTTTTATGACACCTCTAACGTAAGTGAGCGGTAAGATTCTACTGCATCACACATAGGGTTGGGCATCGTTTGGATTATAACGATTCCGGTTCTGTTTTCGGTTCTTGATTCCGGTTCTTTGAGAGGGTAAAAATAAGTCCCATGCAAATTTCATTGGGAGAAAAATATATTTATGAAAGCATTAAGTCAAATCTGTATTCCTATTTACAAATCACTTCATACTGTTTAATTTTGTTGCGGTTATTAAATAAAATTATATAAAAATAATCTCTGCTTTTTTTAGTTAGTTCTAAGTGGTGCAGTTTTGAGAATGTACAATTGGCCCCGTCTCCTCTGATGTTACACTGCAACCTGCCTGTGAGACAGTCAACCACACAGTCTTTGTCCAACACATGTCCTGCAACACACATGCTGCAGCTGCCCAGCTATTCAGTGTTTGTAAAAGTAAATAAATAGTATTTTCATTTCAATAATGTACTTTCTATACTCTGCTTCATAAACAATACTGACATCCCTGTGCTCCTCCGAGCCTGTCTCATAGTCTCATAGATCAGCTAATCCGGAGCATAGAGAGAGAGAGCTGCAGTACGCCGGGCTTGGCCTCCGCCTCCTGTCCTCACAACTCTTATTAATCCCGGTACCGGACAATTGTTATTTGTTCTTACTCGGAACTGAGTTTTGCTTCCCAACCCTGCCACTGTGCTACAGGTCCCGCCCCGCCCCCGTCTAACAGTACAGAAAGCGGCCAGATGCATTTCCTTAGGGATCGACAAGCAGAACCTAAACTAACATTTATGGGCGAAAAACGTCACTTGTCCGTCAGACAATTCAATGGAAAGTTGTACTTATTGTAAATAACACGTCCCGGACGATCGGACGTGTGCTTTTTCGCACACTGCTGCTGTAAAGGCAAGGTATCCTTGTGTTTCTGCTTACATTTTTCTTATTTCGAAGCAGAAACAACATTGGCTCGTATCTTATTGTTTAGTTAATCATACGTTGTGAGCTCGTGCAGCCTGTCCCTCCTCTTCCTCCACATCTGGCCGGCACTCTCAACAGGGAACAGAATCTGCCTCTGTCATGATAAACTGTCATCCAAAAGCTGGAAGGAGAATCTGTGTGGCTTTCCTGATGATTTGTTGAGCAGAAGGATCCAGTACTTCTCTAGTTCACAAAACCCTTCTCCAAACTTGAGGTCCAATCCATTCATTGTTAATGAAACCATGTTCTGCTCAGCCTTCCAAGTTACATGCACATGTTCTGAATCAGAGCGAAGCTACTCATGAGAACAATCATACTCACCCCGTGGTTTTAGTAACAGTAACAGTCATCCGACACATATGGCAGGTATATTAAATCCAACTGTGGAAGCGCAGAAAAACCTTAAAACCACCAACTCACAGCAGAGTCTTGGCTTCCTGTCAACACATCAGTTGTACCTATGTAGATGAGAGCAGTTGGTATACTAAACCTTTGAAGTTGTCTTTAGGGGTTTTGTGGTTTGGCCTCAGTTATGTTTGCATGTTTCTTAGAACTGTTGACATTGCTTAAGTTCTTTCAGTGTTCCCAGTACCTGAATGATTTACTTGCAAATCCTTGTTGAAGGCCCTAACCCTGTCGTGTAAAACATAATCAATAAAATTGGTTCTGTGAAAGTTAGCCATACATAACTCCCTGAGAGGCAGCGTTCTCCCGAAACGTGTTGTTTCTTTTGCTTGGGAAAAAGCTGCCTTTTTAGCTTTAACAACACAACTATGCGCATTCTTTAAAAATAACAATATAGCATTTTACATAAGTCACCTTCACCTAAACACACCAACACAACCTGTATTCTTTTCAACTTTGATGGTGATTGGAATTCATTACGGGAACATAGATGCTTTTGGTTTTACATGTAAAAGTCAGTTTACTGCAAAATGATACGGTGTTAGAAGCTCAGTGACGTTGGAAGTTATCGCAGGGCTTTTTAGTAAACACCTGTTGCTTAACATGGTTTATTCGACAAGATTAAATATTTGTTGATGGTATTAAGCTCTTTGATCCATCTTTAGTTGAGTGATTCCATTAAAATAAATATATTGTTTAACGTGCCTTAAAAGCTGGGATAGGCAGAATATTTTCGGGGGGCATTGAGAAAGATTTCCTTATAAGCTTTCAAGATATTATCATTCAAGGGTTCCTAGAGAAAAGTAAGCTTCTGCAACTCCGAATTGCTCTGTTTTCAGACTCTGTCCTGTGACGGGGGACTTGGGTCAATCTGCAGGTTTTTGGAGAACCTACTTTGTGGTACAACTTTGATAACTTTTGATAAGTCTTCAAGGAAATTAAGTGTAAAGAGGATGCAGAAAAACTCCAGTCAGATCTCAGAGAAATGCAAAGATGGTCCGAGTGTTGGCAGCTCAAATTCAATGCAGCAAAAGTGCAAAGTAATGCACTTAGGTTTTCTGAATCAAAAATATGAGTATAATATGGGTGATAATTCAAACACTATAAACCTATCCAAGACTCATAATGAAAAGGACCTTGGTGTGAATGTTGACAATACCCTGACATTTAGTGACCATATCCGCCGGGCAAGTAACAAAGCGAATGGTATCCTAGCAATGATCCGCAGATCATACACTTATTTGGACTCTGACCTAGTACGTAGTTTATACATCCTTCTTGTACGGCCACTCCTCGAGTATGGGAATGTTCGCTTTGTCCCCCATGTACAAAAAGGATGCTGAGCTCATCGAGAAAAATACAGAGAAGGGCAACAAAGCTGGTTCCAGAACTAAAGGACCTACCATATCAAGAACGACTGCAAAGTCTTAAAATCCCGAGTATGTATTATAGAAGGACGAGGGGAGATATGATCGAAGTTTTCAAATATCTACAAAACATCATGCCCACTACAACGGGATTATAACACCAGGACTCGTGGACACTGTCTCAAGTTGAAGAAACAGTACTCAAGACTGGCTATCCGCCGCAACTTCTTCAGCCTGCGTGTGGTTGACTTGTGGAATGATCTGCCAGAAAGCGTTGTCACATCCAAGACGGTTAACTGTCTCAAATCCCGCCTCGACCATTACTGGTCAAACATCACCTTCACTTTGGACTATGTGACTGTTGCCAGCATCCATAGTAAATAAAGAATCAGTGATCTACTTATTTATTTATGAGCGACTAAAAGGCCTTAGGCCTATACAGCCGTATCCTATTGATTGATTGAACAGGCTTTCATGATTCTGTTTAGATATGCAAGTAAGCCATGATAGCTTATTTTATTAACACTCTAATTTGATATGAAAATCAATGGAGGCTGAGTTAACTTTGTAGGA